TCAGCTTGGACACCCACCTCGGGAGGCCCCATCACCCCGGAGGGGGGTCCCCTGCACCGGGATGATGCTGGGACCCCCACCCCCCCCGCTCCCCCCCCAGGCAAAACCTCCCTGGCCCACCAGTTCGTGGAGGGGAAGTTCGTGGAATGCTACGAGCCCACGGTGGAGAGCAGTAAGTTGGGGGGAGTGGGGGGGCTGCCTGCCTGAGGTCCCCCCTTTCCATGGGGCCACAGGTGATGAGGACAATATGTCTGCGCCTCTGGGCTGTGCCCCAAAATCTTGTGCTGGGGGCTGAGGCACCCCCGGAGTGGGATGGAGGGGATGCTGGTCCCCGAAGGGGGTGTGGAGGGGTGTGGGGGGGTGCAGGGGTCCCGGATGGTCCCATTAACCTGGTGCCACCTCCACAGCCTACAACAAGATGGTGGTGGTGGGCAAGGATGAGTTCCAGCTCCAACTGGTGGACACAGCCGGGCAGGTAAGGCTGGGGACAGGTCCTGGGGTAGGGGGGCCCTGGGGGGGGGAGCAAGGGGGCTGCTGGCCCCAGACCTGCCCCTGGCACTGGTCCTGCCCTCCCCCAGGATGAGTACACCATCCTGCCCCACTCCTTCGTCATCGGCATCCACGGCTACGTCCTGGTGTACTCGGTGACCTCCCTGCAGAGGTGAGGGACACAGCCACCCCCCCTGCCAGGCTCACCCTCAGGGATGGGTCCCCTTGGGGGGGGGGACACGAAGGACACCCCGGTGGGGGGCAGCGCCCAGATCTCCCCTTCTCCCCACAGCTTCCAGGTGGTGAAGACCCTTCACAACAAGCTGTATGAGAGCTGGGGGAAGACACGGTAGGTGCTGTCCCTCCCGGGTTGGCGTGGGGGGGTGCCCGGGGAAGGGGGGGGCCAGGCCCTCACCCTCCCCATGCCTGCAGCATGCCCGTGGTGCTGGTGGGGAACAAGGCGGACCTGTCCCTGCAGAGGTAAGGAGGGCTCTGGGGGTCCTGTCCCTTCTTGCTGTCGTGTCCCCCCCCCCACCTCCCCAAGGACCCGGTGGCCCACCCTGCTTGTCCCTGCTGTGTCTCCAGCCGGGAGGTGAAGACGGATGAAGGGAAGAAGCTGGCGGAGTCGTGGGGGGCCATCTTCCTCGAGACCTCGGCCAAGGAGAGCCAGGTCTGGGGCAGGGTGGTGTATCCCACCCAGGGCTGGGAACGGGGTCCCCGGGGTGCCAGGGCTGATGTCCCTTCATTCCCAGGTGACCCAGGGGATCTTCATGAAGATCATCGAGGAGATTGACCGGGTGGACAACTCCTACAGCAGATCGACCGGCTGTTGCCTGATGTGAGCCCTGCCTGGGGCAGACCCCCAAGATGGGGCAGACCTCCCATGGGACCTTCCCCCAGACCACAGCGGTGGCTTTAGGGGGTCCGGGGCCACGTGGTCCCACTGTTTTGTACAGGACCTCTCCCTTTGCACAGGTTGTGGGGCTCACAAGGGGCTGGGAGCGGGGCTGGGGTCCCATCCCAGCTGGGGAGCACCCCTTGCTTGTAGCTGCTGTCCCCCCC